CATCGTCAGCTGGGGCCAGGGCTGCGGCACCCCCAGCACGCCCGGAGTCTACACCAGCGTCCGCGCCTACCTGGACTGGATCTATGCTGTGCGGAGGGTCAGTGCTGCGCTGCTCACATCGCTGCAGCAGCACATGCAGCTGCTCTATTGCGAGGGCTCTGGGGTGGTGGGAAGGGCCAGGGACCCCTGGCAGCTCTGCACGGAGGGGACTGCACCAGTGGAGTGCAGCATTGCTGCAGGGACAGAGATGCGGGGCTGCAGGCAGCCAGCCCTCCAGCTCTGCGTGGGAACCAAGCCAGCTCCTTAAGGATGCCACTCGCTTTTCCTCCTGGTTTCGGCTGCCCTTCAAAGCTTGCAGTTGCCTCTCTCCCTCTCTCTCCTTCCAGTCAGAGCTCTGAGACCCGCTGGGACAGTTCCCCCCCTCTCCCCAAGCCTCCCTCCCCATCCATACGCGCTTGGCCGTCTTGGCTCTGGCAGCAGCTGGGAAATGGATCTTGAGCCCTGGAAGGAAAGCAGTGCCTCCCGAACCCTCGCTGGCAGGCTGTGATTTAGCACACCTAAGGACAGCCAAGGAGGCAAAGGGCGGCTCGAAGCGATGGCCACCGATACCATGAAGGAATCTGACCAGCTCAAGCTCCCTTCCGGAGAGAGATTAATTTATTGCCCTGTGCTGACCCTGCCCTGGCAGGAAGGCTCCTGGGGGGCTAACCTGCTGTTTGCTCACTACTGTTATACAGAGAGAAATGATGATTATGTCATAGAACATCCTCATTAAAAGAAAGTATTTGTTTTTTCATGCAGCCTCTGGAGGCTTTGTCCCTCTTGCTCGCAGGGGTAGTTTTTGCAGTACCACACGCTACAGCCTGGAGCTGCTTTCCCAGTCCAGAGAAGGGACCCAGCACACAAGGGAAGCACTGCTGCTCTGTGCCCAGGGGGTCACGGAAAGCCCAAATAGACACCCACAGCAAGCCCAACCAGAGCGAGTTTCTCTAGTAAACATAAACTTTATTTCATTCAATGCAAAGCTAACTAAACCTCTACAGTGCAAAAATATGCTGTAAGTCGTCACACAGCATGTTGTACACACCCTGTGTTTATTCGCAGGTATCTCCTACGTGTGTTTATATATGCTTATGCACATACGTGTCTGTCGCAGCACGCACCTCCAGCAGGGCTTCTCCCCCCACACCCCAGAAAGCCCCTGCAGACCCCCCAGAGCCCTTGTGACAGCAGGGACCCTGCGGGTGCTGGCAGAAGCTCCCCCGCCAGCCCTCTCCCCCGAGCCCCTGCTCCGTGTCCAGCACCCACATACGCATGTGCACATACAGCTACATTCACAAACTGCTTATGCTGACTCTTCCCATCGAGCCCGAGGAGTAATCCATGCATAGTACAGCATTGCATATCCTGTGGTAAGTGGAACTGTGTCCAGATACCGGCTAAAAAAGGCCAACAGGTTAGGACAGCTAAAAAGAGTTCTTTAAAAAAATCCCTTCCTCCCCTCACGGCCCTCTCCCACGAGAGGTCTCCTCCAAGGACGGGCTGGGGGGCTCTTGGGGCAAACCGGGGGTCCTCACGCCTTCCTGCCCAAGGGTACGTTAACAGCCTTTTCCATTTACAGCGTGCCTTTCGCCCCAGGATCCCGGAGCACTCGGCAAAGCGATGCAGGAGCCTCACCCCTCCTCTCGGGCAGCTCAGATTCACCAGCCCCCTTTTACAGATGGGGAAACTAAAGCACAGAGGAGTCAAGTGATTTCCTGAGGGTCCCACGGATCCTCAGAGAGGAGACCGGGATCCCAGGGACATCACTCACCCGTTTAACCAGCAGCCGAGGAAACGTGCCTGGGGCCAGGCGCCTGTACCTGTCCCCTGTCCCCAATGCACAGCCCCACTCCAGGGGTGCTCCCACCTCTCCCACAGCCGTCTGCACAGAAGGCAGCACCTCACCTTTCTGTCTTTGCCTTGCCCACCAAATCCTCGCCTGCCCTCCACTCCAGCCCCTCTGTCGGGGTGCAAGCCCTCACAGCCGGGGAAGTCAGGGCTCAGCTCTGATTCCCAGCTTTGAGGGGATGGGGGAGCTGCCTCTCCTGCAGCTTGACTGACAGACACCCCCAAGTAAAGGAGAAATAGGGAACAAATCACAATGTTGTCAACTACAGTTGTAGGATCAGCTCACTCCCTTCACGTCTCACATCCTGCCGCAGCCCTTGGGAAGGGGGCTGGCTTGCCCGAGCCCCCCTGCAGGGACCCTTCGCAAAGACCCTCTGGCATTTTGTGGCACCCCTCATCCAGGGATCTCAAAGCACTTCACAAATGTTAGCCAAGGAAGCCTCACAACAACCCCTGCGAGGTAGAGCAGCATTATTATCCCCATTTTACAGATGGGGAAACTGAGGCATGGAGGGGCAGGGTGACTTGGCCAAGGCCACCCTCGCCAGGGCTCAACCGTGCTCCGGCTCCGTGCCACAGCCTGCCTCGGGCGAAAGGGAAACATAATCAGCCGTTCTCCCACTGGAGTCTAACATTAAAAATACCCATGTAACGAGTTAAGCCTTGGCAAGTCGGCATCGAAAGCATCGCAGCTCTGCATGCCGAGCTTTAAAAAGGGGGGAGGAGGAGGAGCAAGAGCAGCAGCACAAACCCAGGAGTGCCTCCCGAGAAGGCTGCCCAGGGGAGAAACCCCCCGCTGCTCTCGGGGACAGCCCTGTGCAGGGACAAAGCAGGGGCGAAACATGGAGCTTCACCCCAT